GTGTGTGTGTGTGTGTGTGTGTGTGTGTGTGTGTGTGTGTGTGTGTGTGTGTGTGTGTGGTTTAAACACAGAGTCTCGCTCTGTAGTTCAGGCTGGCTTTGAACTCATTCTTGAACTTGTGGTGATCCTCCTGCCTCAGCTTAACGAGTGCAGGGATTAAGGCATGCACCACCACACTCAGCTTTTTGTGTGATTTTAACAAAACCTCTTGGGGAGCCGGGGATTTAGCTCAGTGATTCCACTGCCTCGCAAGCACAAGGACCCAAGTTCAATCCCTGGTACCAAAAAAGAAAAAAAAAAAAAAAAAAAACCCTTTTGGACAGGTTCCCAAAACCTTTTCATGGTTGTAGGAATGGGTGCCAGGCCTGTCACACAGGCTTCTGGGCCTCACCACCGGGGTCCTCCGGTGCTGGGTGGGGCTCACATGCTGCTGGGTGCTGCAGCCCCATGCTCGGGCTCAGGAGAGATTGTCCTGCTGCCATGGCATCTTCTAGCAGCACTGGGAAGCAGCAGGAAGCACACGCCGCCCTGGGCCCCACAGCGGATTCAGAGCCTGTGCTCCTACCCACCTCATACCAGGGTCCCAGTGGGGTCCCGGGATCTTTCTAGGCAAATTCCTAGGCCCCATCACACACCTAGGAAGGCAGAAACTGCAGGTGGGCATGGGGAGCCCAGTAGCTTTTGGAGTTTAGCAAACCCTCAGGTGAGGCTGATGTGGCCCCCGTCTGAGAACCCTGCCCACTGTAGTACAGTGCCCCACATACACGTGCCTGCTGCACTCGGGCACAGGCCAGGGAGGGGAGAGGACGGCGACCGTGGCAGGAGGCCCCATGGCCTCATAGCAGAGCCCTATCTCGGATCCTGCTGGCCTTCAGGCCGCCCTGTCCTGACCTAGGGCAGCAGGAGACCCTCCGGGACCTGAGATCTAAACCCTGCCCTCGGCCTGGAGCCCTTATCTGCAGCCACCCCCCCCCGTGGGACCGGCTCCCTCTCCACTCCCTGCGCCGACTCAGTTAACAGCCTGCCCATGGTGGAGGCGTTTGCCGTAGCTGCCAGGCCTGACCCTGGGCATCGTGCGCTCTCAGACCTTCCCGGCTCCCTGGGAACGGTGCCCACTCTCACCTGGCACTGGCTGAAAAGTGGTTAGGGTTGGGGACCCTGGTGGCCAGGACAGAGGGCTTCCAGGGAGGCTGGGGTGGTGGGACTTCCAAGGAGATGCCAGGTGACGGCCATCGCGGTCTCTTCGCCCAGGGGAACACCATCGAGTCCGAGCACTTGTCGGAGCTCACCGAGGAGGAGTACGAAGCCCACTACATCCGGCGGCAGGACCTCAAGGGCTTCATGTGGCTGGACGCCAAGTATCTGAACCCCTTCTTCACGCGGAGGCTCACTCAGGAGGTGGGACCCTTCCCCTGGGACACACAGTGGGACACAAGGTGGGGAGTGGGGCGGGGCCTTCTCCCGCTCCTTGGGGGGCTCGGCCCTGCCGTTCCTCGGCTGCCTCCCTTGGTGCTCATGGACTAATCGGCGGCCAACCACCGGGTTTGGGCTTCCGGGCGGTGGTCTTGGGCTGTTCCGACCGGGACGCTGTCAGGTGTGCCGGGTCTGCCCTGCTTTTCTCCGCCCCGCTGCGCTGGCCGGGCAACGCGGACTCCGCTGTGCGGCTCCCGTACCCGTGCCCCCCACCCCGGCGCTGACCACCGACAGGCCTTGCCGTCTCTTGCCTCAGGACCTCCACCATGGGCGCATCCAGATGAAAAGCCTGACCAACAAGTGGTACGAGGAGGTGCGCCAGGGCCCGTCGGGCTCCGAGGACGACGAGCAGGAGCTGTTCTGACGGAGGAGCGGGGCCCAGTGTTCCTGCCCCGCTGGTGCTTCCTGGCCCCGTCCCGGCTGCAGCAGCCGGGCAGAGCCACCTGCTGGAGGAGGCTGTGGGGAGCCCGAGGGAGGGGGGTGTGCCACCCCCAGGGAGCAGGTGCCTCCTGTCGCCTTGTGGCTCACACTCCTGCTGTGTGCTGCCCGTTTTTCTTCACCTGTCAGTGGCCCAGCATAGCCTGTGTCCTCGGCAGGCAGCCGCTTCCCATGCCCGGGGGCCCAGCTCTGAGCGGGCTGGAAGCTGCGCCCCTGCAGGCTTTGTCTCTCCTGTGTGCTTGGCGCACCCCCTAGAGGGAGATGCAAGAAGTGCAGGGATTGTGCGGGCGGTGCAGCTTTCTGGACCGCTCGGTTCATGCACTTTGCAAGTGAGAGCCTGGCAGCTGCTGCCGCCTACCGGTCTCCCTCATTGTGCCCGGCTCCCTGCTCCGCTGTTCTCATGTTCCGGTGGAGCCCCTTCTCCCTGGCTCTGCAGCATCTGCCTGCCCTTAACCGGCTGCCACCTTTACTGCTCTTTGCGCGTCCTTCCCTTCTCCCAGTTCCGTGCGCCCCGGCTTACCTGCCCTTCCCAGAACTGACTTTGTCTGCACTTGGACTGTGGACAGCTTCTCCACATGGCTCTTGGTGGGGACCCACGAAGCTCAGGGCTGGTTGCAGGGCTGGGATTCACACCCCGCCTGGCCCTTCACCTTTCACAGCACCAGAAGTTACCGGCGAGGGCCCAAACAGGAGCGCTCCAGACAGCTGGAATGCAGTCATTGTCTCCCTGTACGAAGCACCTTAATCCCATAGTTTGAGCCACCCGTTGCCTTGCATAAATCTGGCCTTCGCCACTTTCTTTCCATGGAAAAAGGAAGTCAGGAAGGACGAGGGGACTTTGCCCTTACCTGGGGTTCAGCAGGAATCTGAAACCGAGCACATTGTTCTCTGATCCCAGCTCAGAATAAGTTATTTTCTCTTTTGAATCTGTCACGAGTGTGGCACACACCCGTAATCCCAGCACTCAGGAGGCTGAGGCAGGAGGATTGCCACGAGTCTGAGGCCAGCCTGGGCTACATAGTGAGCTTGAGTTCAAGGCCAATCTGCTTGAATTACACAGTGAGACCCTGGCTCAAAACAGAAAAAAGAAACTTGGGATCTGACCCCATGATACAGGTTGCTTTGCAAGCTTAATAGCTTGCCAAGATTTCTACATTTTTCTTTTAAATGGTAAATTCAATCTGGGCATTGTGGTGCACCCCCCTACTACCTGGGAGTCTGATGCAGGAGGTTTACAAGTTCAAAACTAGCCTGGCCACCTTAGGAACTTAGCAAGACCCTACTGAAAAGAAAGAAAAAATGGTGGGAAGGGTACTGGGAATCAAACGTGGGGCCTTGTGCTTGCAAAGCAGGCAGCGGCACCACTGAGATAAATCCCCAGCAAGAAAATTTTTAAGAAGGGTGGGAGTATAGTTTAGTGCAGACCCTAGGTTTTATTCCCAATACCGTTTTTTAAGAAGTTTGTAACAAGCAACAAAGAGTCAGGGTCTGGGTTCGGGTCTCTAGGTCCGAAGCCTCAGCCACATCACACCTGACCCCCATGTTTAGCTGAGACCTGTGGAGGGCTAGGGCCCTTTCCTCAAAGGAACTATAGTTCCCCCCTTGAGCCGTCTCTGCCCTCTGCTGGCCAAGCGAGTGAATGGAAACCACCCCGGAGGTAGGTCTCACCTCACCTTCACAGCAGGCCAGAGGCCCCACAGGTGGACTTCACACGTCTGGAGGAGAACCAGAGATAGTGGTGCTGTGCTGTCTCCCCCCTTTAGTAAGCCTCCAGGATGCAGGCAGGTTGGGGCATGGAAACAAAGTCACAACATGCTGTTCCTGACACTGCAGCCAGAACTCCTAGGATCTGGCAGAGCCCCAAGCAGTGTTTTGTGTTTTTTGTTTGTTTTGTTTTGTTTTTTAGTACCTGGGATCCGAACTCGGGTCCTTGTTGCAAGGCAGGCGTTGGAACCACTGAGCTAAATCCCCAGCCCCCCAGGCAGTGTTTTAAGTGACAGCTCCAGCCCAGCACCATGGTGCACACCTGTAATCCCAGCACATCAGGAAGCTGAGGCAGGAGGATTGCCATGAGTTTGGAGGCCAGTTTGAGCTACACAACTTGAATTGTACAGTGAGACCCTGTCTCCAAAAAAAGTAAAATAAATGGAAATTCCAGCCTGAAGTGCAGGCTCAGAAAATAAGGACTCGGCTCCCCGCCCTCTCATCTGCCACTTCTCAAATGTAGTGAGCTCTTCAGCTGGAAAGCACGGAACACTTCTGCCCCTCCCCATCCTCCCACCCTTCCCCGGGACCCCAGGAGGAGCTGGTCGTGGTCTTCATCCTCAGCTGCTGCTGGCCCGGAGTGAGTGGCAGGGCCTGCGAGTGACGTGGGGAGGGACAATGAGGAGGCCCCAGCTTGTGACCTCGAGGTGTCCCGGGTTCGTGTTCTCTGGCTTGCAGGACCGTGGGGAGGTGAGACTCTGCCAGGGCCCCTGCTCGTCTCGACTGGGCTTCAGAATGGAAGTCGTGTCGCTGGATAGTTGAGAAATAAAAACAAGGCAAATCCAAGCTGGCTTCTGTGCTCACCCTCGCATGGCCTCGCAGGCTCCCGGGCTGCACCCCCAGCTGCTCCAGCTGCAGTAGGTGCGGGTGGGAGGCACATGGCCGGCCGGGAGTGGGCCAGCTCCCCCCGGGAGCACCTGGCCCACCTTGGGCTTCTGTGCCCCCAGGCCTACAACAGGGCCACCCCGAGAATTGCACATCTGCCCTGTGGGAACTTCTCCCGCTGTGCCCACTGCACCTGCAGGAGCCCAGCGGTACCCCCTGCCTGGAGGTGGTGACCTGAAACGGGAGTCAGGCCGTGAGTATCCCCCACGCCCCCAAGAGGTGTCCAAAGCAGTTTCCCACAGCCTCCCTGTCCCGGCTGGCCAAGAGCCAGTCCCACTTTCTTCCAGCCTGTGACCCATCCCATGCCCTTGCCAGCCAAGTGCCTGCTGCCCCCTCAGAGACTGGGTTCAGAGAAATGTTCCCCTACCGTGGTGGAAACTGCAAGCGTGGTGACGATGAAGGACAGTTGGCGTCGTGTCAGGGAGACAGACGAGGGGCTCTTGCTGAGCAAGGGTCAGCCTGACCCCAGCAGGGTTGTGACAGTGAGGGAGAGGGTCCTGAGCAGGCCCAGGGCCACCTGCAATTCCATCTCTTTTTCAACTCCTAGAGAAAGCTCTCAGGGTAGAAAGGAGTGATCAAAAGAAGAAAAATCCCAGCACTTGGGAGGCCGAAGCAGGACTGCTGCAAGTTTGATGCCAGCCTGGGCTACTTGAACGAGGTAGCAAGGCCCTGTCTCCAAAAAAATTTTTTTTTGTTCCTTTGAAACAATAAAGCTGGGAAAAGATCCAGGAAAGGTTATAGATAAAGTTTTGAGCACCCCATAACCCCTGTTGGTTCCATGGGGAGCTCAAAATGAACTATGTGCTTTTAAAAATGCACATACAGTGCAGGCCTGTAATCCCAGCAGTCAAGAAGCAGAGGCAGGAGGATCACCTCGAATTCGAAGCCAGCCTGAGCTACATAGGTGTTCAGCGCCAGCCTAAACCACAGAGAAGCCCTGTCAAAAAAAAGCCAGCTGGGTGAGGTGGCAAACACTTGTACCTGCATCTACTTTGGAGGCGGCAAATGTGAGGCCTGCCTCTCAGAAAGCGCTGGTGATGGTGCATTTTCCTGGCCTAGCATGTGGGAGGCCCTGGGTTCAAATCTTGGTATTGCAAATACACCAAAAAAAGGACATGAAAATTATATGAAATTCAAATTTCAAACTCCATGAACTGTTGAATTTGGTCCAAAAATGTATGGAAACTTGTCTTCTCTATACAGTCTAAAATATTTGCTACCTGGCTACTTAGAAAAAAACGGTTCGCTCAGACCTACTCTAGAGAAATTCTGCCATGGCCATGTGTTTCACTGCAAAGGACTGAAGTGAGCTGCATGCCTTCCCCTGGATGGACGGGCTGGCTTCCTGACACGACACTGCTGGACAGTGGTGACCGCAGCCGATGAAGGGGACTGGAGTGACCAGCTGGGTGTGATGGTGCCGGCGGAGCTGAGGCAAGAGGCTCACTTGGCAAGACATCCTCTCAGGAAATTAAATAAAGGGCTGGGGGTGTAGCCCAGTGCGAAGGCCCTGGGTTTGATCCTTAGTTCAGAGGAAAAAAATGCAAAACCTCAAAATATTAAGGGTGAAAGCACGCTTCAGAAGAATACATTCCAAGGACATACAAAACCACGGTGCAGGATCCTGTCATTAGGAACATGGCCACGTGCAGCAGTGGTGGGATGAAGAAGGTTGCTGCAGCTGATGCCAGGCTCTGGGGTCTCAGGCAGATAATAAACTGCGTCAGGGCTGTTACACCCAGCGAGGCTTTGTCTTCCCACTCTACCCTGGTGATTCGTTCACCAGACAGCAGAGGGCAACCAGGAGCCTGTCCTGGGAATGCGCCCCAGCCTGCCCCGCTGGCCTGCTCTCAGGGGTGAGCAACAGATCTGCAGGGTCCTGGGCAGGGCTTCTCAGCAGTCAGGAGCAGGTCTAGTCACAGTGACAAAATCTAAATTGATAGTGGCTTCCTTGGACCCTGGACTAGACTGGTTCTGATCAGTCCCCATTGGTTCCAGACCAGGTCAAACTGACCCTGACAGGATCAGACCAGCCTCAACTGAATCAGACTGGCTGACTTGTGTTAGCACCAACCAGCCCAGACTGGACTGATCCCTACCTGACTGGACCTGACCAGACCATTTTAAGACAGGGTCTTGCTAAATTGCAGGTTGGGCTTGAATTACCTAGGCTGGACTCCAATTTGGGGTCCTCTTACTCAGAGTGCTGGGATTATAGGTGTGCCATCACACTTGCCTTTATTCCATCTTTAAATATGCCACTGGTAGTCAAGTTGTAGATGAATGGAATTTTTTTTTTCTTTTTGGTACTGTGGATCGAACTCAGGTCCTTCGGTTTGTAGGGCAGGCACAGAACCACTGAGCCAAATCCCCAGCCCTCTTTTTTTTTTCTGAGATAAGGCCTGACTAGGTAGTTGTGCTGCTCTTGAACTCACTATGTAGCCCAGGCTGGTGTCAAACTCATGGTGATTCTCCTGCCTCAGCCTCCTGAGTGCTGGGATTACAGGCAAATGGTACCATGTCTGACCCCCAGAATTTGTTTTTCATTTAAAAAACAAATCAAACTCACTATTATGGCTTTTCTTCCAACAGCCCGTCCTGTATCCTCTGCAGAGGACTGCAATATTGATTATGCCCAGAGCAGGCTGTGAAGATTTAACCCACAATTGGCTTGTAGACGTGAGTCTGGCCAAAGCCTATGTGCCAAGGTCAGAGTAACTTGTACCCAAATTCCATTCCCACAATTGCAACCTCCTGACTAGAAGGACAATGTTCTCATTACAACCATATATTTTGTCTATTGTGTTCCTAATTCAAGAATGCTTTGTCTTGTCATTATGAGCCCTGTTTACATTCATTTCCATAGAAGCCATATGTTGCCTCTGGCTAGCTGAGCCTAATTGACTTAGTTCTGCACATTGCTGTTCACATTGTCTTACTGACAGCAGAGATATACCCTGAAGGAGACCCTTCAATTTTTCTCTTTTCCTTTTATTTTAAATTTTTATTTTTTCTCATTCTTCAAATTCTTTTTCCCACTCAGTCTTTTGCTCCCCCACATTATTTTTCATCTCCCTTTTTGTCCCTGTTCCTGCCCTAATTCAGATTTCTTTTTCTTTTCATCTCTCTTTTCTTTGCTCGATTATCATTAGTTTCAAAGGAAAGTAAGATTTATAGCTTCCCTATTACTGTTAAATGTTCTATTCTTGTCTTTTTTCTTGTACTCTGTCTTCAGTTCTTGTCTTCAACAGTTTCCTAGAGTTTCTGAGATCATCCTGTGTCCTCTGGCTTCACTTGAAACCTTTTCCTATTCTACACCTATGCC